TGGCAGTCTGTTGTACTGGTTAATGCGTCGAGACTGTGCGCTGCTCCGTCATGGTTCGAGTCCCGCTGGGTTCGTTGATAAGAGCTAGGCGAGGATTGGATTGGAACACATTTTTGGAAAGCTAGTCAATGTGAAAGGGAATGGAGGCGTGTGCACTACCCATGGCATTGTGGGAAAATTTAACTGCCAGGCCATAATCTCCTTTTTTATTTATTTGTGGCTCGGCTTTTTTTCACCCGAACTGAAGGCAGACGAATTTGAAAGTGAACTGAGCAGAATAGAGCCAGATAGTCCTCTTGACTTGGTGCCAACTTGAAGCTTGTGCAAGAACGAGTTCCAGCTTTTACGAGGTCTGCCAATTGATGGACGAATGCTCGGCCCGTTTCCACTTGAAACTGGGTCAGATGCCGCGTAGACTGCGTCAAGCGGAAGATTAAAACAAAACCGAATGACTGCAGAGCAGTTCGGCCTACTCGTCACTTTATCAATCCACAATGTTACCCCAATAGATCCTTCTAAATCATACTAATTTCCAGAGATACGAAATTCGCTGATGCCGACCGAGACGACTCATTTAACCCATGCTCTTCATGTGTTTTTTTGATTTATGTGGTCTTCTGCCTTTCTTTTCCTGGAAGGCGAAGCCAAAAGATGAGTCGGCCATTGCCTTGCCCCCGTGGTTGCGTGAGTCAAGCTAGTGGCCTGTGCATGTCTATCTGGCATCATGGGACTCCCTGCGTGGTTGAATTCTCCTACACACTCTCAAATTCCTTTGAGCGGAGCACCAAATTTGGGTCTCAGTCCCTGTATCTCCAATTAGACATTGAGTTCAGGATATTTCAAGCAAATATCTCGATTCACTGGGTCCACCGTTGGCCATGCCAGGCGCATCAGGACACCCCTTTTCACATTAATCTCCACGGTTTCACTTGTTTGATTGTGGACAGCACCGACGTCCACGAAAACCCCAGAAGGCACGACTAATACTAACCATTTATCGCGTATATCTTAATCATATATTTTCTTTTCCTATTTCAAATGTCCACAACTTCGTCTTCTCAATTATTCATGGAAAGAGTTGCTATCAGACCGAAGAGAGCGATCAGGCTCCTGGCATCTACGACACGAACATAATACTACTTACGATTAAATCAGTAGTCTATAAAGTTTAGTGATAAATGGCACACAGTTGCTTATCGGTATTAAAGTGCTCATAACATGGTGCGATTTGAGAGGCTCAATTGGCCCAGTGTATTTTGGCTTCGGGGCTAACGTGCACACATCGAGTCCTGCTGAGAATGTTGTTGCGAGGACGAGGCGATGTCAGAATTTTAATCCAGACTGAAGATGAAAGCAACTTTTCGGGAGGCTTAACGAAGCGGCGTTTAATGCGTACCTTATTCAAGTGATTGTCGACAGAGTCACCATCATTTGTGACCATTTTTCGGATCATT